AGAATAAAGTCGTCTTAGATGGTTTGGTCATATTAAACGTCGACCATTAGATGATCCGATTAGGAGAGTAGATGTTTTAAATTCGACTTGTGTTAAGAAAGGTAGAGGTAGACCTAGGAAGACTTGGGCTTATTGTATTAAAAATGATCTTAATTTACTAGAACTAAATGAAAATATGACACTAAATAGGACGCAATGGAGAAAAAGGATTCATGTAGCCGACCCCACGTAGTGGGATTAAGGCTTTGTTGTTGTTGTTGTTGTTGTTGGGAGAATAATATTCATATCCTTGTTGTTTAAAGTGTAGTCAATAAAAATGTCATTTATGACATTTGTTACTTTTTTTAATGTTATATATACTTTTTTTAATGAGGAGTTATGCATTAAATGGCATTGCAACCAACATTTTTATAGGAATGATTGTGGGATAAAAATTGGTTAGGATTTTGTAAGGAGTTTTGAATTTTAGAATTTATGATGGCATGCAATTAATAATTTTCGCAGTAGTGAGGATAATCTGCCTTTCTTAGGATATTTTTAGTTATTAAAATTGATTAAAATATCTTTAAAAGTTGTCTATTTTTTTCCTTCTATATAATTTTGTTGAGCATAGATGCAAGTAATTTAGAGAACAATTCCTTGTTTGGGAGGATATTTTCAAAGAATCAAATGAAAATAATCTTTTCTATTGTCGGCTTGAAGGACTAGAATCTGGTTTTTGAATTAGTTTTTTATAGAGTGAAAATTTTTAAGAAAAATATATTTGGTTTAAAATTTATCCTTTGCTAGAAAGATCCTACTAGCTCTAATTTGAGAAATAATAACCACCTAACACTCGCAATTTTATTCACCTAGGGTAGGCCTCAAATGTCACTATGAAATTTTGCAAGGCTTTGCAGGGATGATTAGGGTAGGAAGCTCAAGTATGCTTATATAATTCTTTACTTTGTATTGAAATATTTATCAGATTTGTGTTAACAAAAGAAGAAGAAAATTTTTTTTATGTATTTGAATTTTGGATGACTGCCACAATATAATTGTGCTTTTATTGGAGGAACAATTCTAAGAAGTTTATTTTAACTTGTCTTCTAGTATTATCTTCATAATCTCAGAGTTGAAGATTAACATTTTCTGTTTTCTTATCACTTACCCTCCCTCGAGTTCCTATCTTATATTTCACGAGCAAGAAGAAAATTAGTATTATCGCTCATAGGCTTAATAAATTTGCAGCTTGAAAATAAATTATTATAAAGTTTATGAACTAAAATGACTCAAGAATCGAAGAGCTAGTGACATTGATAGTCCTAATAAGATCAAAGATTTCTTCTGGTCGCAGTGTCTCACGACATTAACCAGCGTGTCTTATAGACAACTGGGCAAACAGACATCTGGATGCAGCCCCCTAATTGGGGACGATGCCGGGTGGTTGTCAAAATTTATGGTGATCTTGGATTTGAAAATTATTTTAAATTTGGACTTTACAAACTTATAAAATTGTCTAAAATTGAATTATTTAAATTTTTAAATAGTAATAATAATATTTAAAATTGGATTGTCAAAGCTTGCAAATGATTTTAATGTTTGAATTCCTTAAAGTAACCAACTAAATATTCAAGCAAAATTCAATCACTAAATATTCAACCAAATTTACAGGGATATCTTGGACAACGTAACTCATGACCACTAACAAGAATCATTCTATCAGGTTGAGTCGACTACCTCCTTTGACTAAGTAGATTAGGGACCACGACGACCCGAGTTGACAGAACTATGGGATCTTGATTGGGTTTCGTCTTTATTCTCCCACCATTCGCTTTAAGCTTTAAGTGGAGAATTTACAATTTAAAGTCCCAAGTCAGCTGCTATTTTATGCTTAATATTCAATTCTTAATGACTAGCCTTAATCGAAAGTGCTATCCCGTTATCGGGAGAGGTAATTAAACATAGGGGCTTGCGCCTACAAGAAATCTTCACTCTCATATCAAAAAATTGCTCGTTAAATAAGGGTGAAATCTCTAGGTAGTGTCTTATTTACAATCCAATTCATTTTTTGAGAATTCGACCCTTCAAAGTTCTCAGCAAATCAAAAATAAAATAATGCAAATGGTCTCTCGGGAGCGGTCGTGAATTTTTGGAGCCCACATTGACTTTGAATTATGAATATTACACCACTAAAGTTATAGCATTTCTTCATTGATTCTATGCCATTCATATTCCAAATATTTTCTCTATTATTTGAAATTTCTACTTATTTAATTATGTTGTACAAATTATAATTGTCACATATAAAAAAACTGTACAAATGCTCCTCCTTAACTCATTATCATCATTAACCTTATCCAAAATAATCGGAGATAGCTATATGAATCCTCTTTTTTTATCAACTTAACCAGCTAGCAATAACAACTCCCTTTTATTTTTCTTTCATTTCACTCATTCAACATATATATATATATACTGACATATTATTTTCAGTTAACCTTTTTTCTTTTATTTCAATTCAGTGTATTGACATATCCTACACCTAGCTTTAATTTTTACATATGCCACCTTACCTGTGAATGAAAAAGGTGTATTTTTCCTTTTAGAATTACAAGTGGTATTTTTTATGCGATAGGAAAGATTTGGGTGGTATAAATTCAAAAGCAAATGTCAGACATGTACATACATAAAATTTGGGTGGTCAATATGCAAACACCCCTTATTATTATTATTATTATTATTATTATCAGTATAATTCACAAATCACCTACGTGTGATTTTTATTGGTATTCTCATCATTCTTCTAACATCTAACAAGGTGATATGTATGTCAAGTAGCAGCTGATCATTGTTTTTCAACTTTTTAGCCAAAAAAATAAGGAAAAAAATTAATATTTATGATGAAGAACAGTTTTGCTTACCCAAGGGCGACTCTTATGATGATGAACTTAAAATTTTCATGGAAGCAAGACCTCAAACCAAAATCATACTGCATTTAGAGTGGGAAAGAAGAATTAACCAGACAATACAATAGCAACAAATACTTGATACAGTGCTAATCCATACCCAGATCCAAAAGAAGTACGTTAACTGGAAAGTATTCTGCAAAAAAATATAACATGTGAGTTAGATTAAAGGAAATTTACACATGGAACAAAATTTACACAGGCCAAGTCGTAAATGTTATAGGAATAGAAGTGAAATATAGACAGCTTAGCACCACCATTTGTTTGACAACAATTAGTTGGAACATCATCACCATCATTTTCTTTATTCTAAATATTTAGATTTAGCTATATTCTTTGCAATTTTCGTTAGATTTCTGAATATGCGTTAACTCTATTCTGTGAAAATTTTTTTGTGCACTGTTTAGTCATGCTATATTTGGCATATGTTGTTCTCTTCTCATTAATTTCCTACGATGACATGTTAATAATGAATCTCCAAGCTCGATCGCTTCCCTTTGAACTTGTCAAATTGCTCGGCCTAACCTTCTTTTGTGTTAATAAATGTTACTCTTCCATTTCTTTCTTATGATCAATTTTCAATTTATCTATCCTTATGTTTTCTAAATATGCAAACTTTTTAGTTATTGACCTTACCCTTTGAGACTAGAGCATGTTAAATATCAATAAACTTTTAGACAAATTTGCATGCCTATAACACAATTTTTACGTATTTACATATATCCCCACCTAAACTTTCATGCTTACATACATAAAATTTCATTGATTTAAACCTATGCATGAAATTATGTACTTTACTTTTAAAAAGTGGAAATAGTGCTATTTTTTGAATGAATATTAAAGATTTGATTATTATGTTCATAAATGAAAGTTTAAGTGTGATATGTAAATGCATAAGAATGGTGTGCTATGCATGTAAATGTCCCGAAACTTTTAAGAACACTAACTGCACTAGATGGGAATCATCCAAAGGAGGAAAAAACATATAACAAATAAATATATCATCAAATGGATTTATAGTTTTCAATTAGAAAGTAAAGTAATGCTGGTACCAACCATAAACAATGTGAAATGTATTAGTGAGAGAACTAAACGAGGCCGCTTGAACCAAAAATGATAATCACTTAGTTGAACCAAAGGTATTCCTTGAACAACTGCATGCCTGTCTTTAATTTGAATTGCCATCTTCCCAATTATAGCCTGCAGTTTTGTCCCAACAACCAACAGAATCTGCAGAATCAGTTAAAATGTTATTTGATTTTGTTGGACTGAAAGTATTAGTAAAATTCTGATGGTTATATGTTGGTCATACTATTGGAGGAAGAAGAGAGACCCAGAACAGTTCCTGCCATCCTGTAGAGCCGAAAATTATTAGAGATGAATTTGATTTATAACCATTCTAAAATGCAGGAGTAGCATTTTTTTTAATATTTACCATGAACATTAAGTAGTAAAAAGATCACTGCAGAAGCCCACAGGAGAGGACTGAGGATAAAACAAGGAATATGTTCATCAGAAGGGAAATAAAGCAAACTAGAAACCAAACATAAGAATGATATGAAAGAACCACAAATAGGCAAAAAGTTCAATCTCTTGACATTTAATGCTTTTATGTGAGAAATTATTATTATTATTATTATGATTATGGTTATGATTATGATTATGATTATGATTATTATGATGATTATTATTATTATCATTATTATGATTATCTTGATAATGATGATGATGATGATGATGATTATGATCATCATCAGTATTATTATTATTATTAGGGTAAAAACAGATAATCATCATCATTAGTATTAGTATTAGTATTATTATTAGGGTAAAAACAGATAAAAAAACACATAGGGGCAATAAATTTCTGCTGCATATAAAAAACGCTGTTGTATAACATCATAAACTTCCAGGCTAAACAATCATTTTACCTTATTCCAACGACGACCTTGAAATCATCTTCCAGCGACCTTTTTATATATTTTTGAAAATTAAACTTGCTTCCAGGCGCCAAATGAACCTTACAAATCACAGCAGAAATTAATTTATGCACCCAGAACAATTAATGAGACAAACTAAAGGCTACATTTTATTACAAAGCTCACATTTATGAAACCATGACGCAGGGTCAAGTAATCTGCCTTTCTAACTGATCTAAAAAATTGGTGGAAGAAACAGACCTGTTATCATATGAAGTTAGAAAAATTAACATACATACTACTCAATTCTTATATATTTACATAATTGCCATAAGTATTTGTTTAGTTCAAAGTTTGCTTACAAAATAAAGCAGAACAGGATGCTTTTCCCAGAAGCTGGTGTGTTGTTTCACAAAAGAGGTCTCATGTGCTAGCCTGAACCTTGAAGGGTCTAAAATGTAATAAGAAAATGTTTCTGTTAAGGAAATGTGTCTCTTTTCTTCATTATCTATGCAAAAAACGAATTGTTACCATTAGAGAACTCATAATTAAGGGTTTGTGTCTCTTCTTCCCACTGCTTCCATCTCCTAATCTGCTTCATAAAACAATCACAGGTGAAGTTTATTTATGTCAATATTATGAGGAAATGATTCAATAAGATGTGAAAAATATTGACCTTAAGTCTTCCTAGAGCCATTGTTAGGGCACTGTATATGACATGAAAGATTGCTAGGAAGAATATGAAAATGTGCAGCTGGTGCATTCCGTTTATAGAAACAAATGGGATTTTCCCCTGCAAACACAAATTGTTCACATTGCAGTCAGTAGTGGCCAGAATATTTATGCAATACAGCCAATATTTTCTAAACAAATGAAAATGAAACAGACATATTGGGATTGCAAAAAAAGAAATTTTTTTTTTTTGAATTATGACAGTTGATTGTAAAGCATATGGTTTAAATTAGGAGTGTAAATGAATTGAGCTTGAGCATGTCTAGGCTTGGGTTTATATATTGAGCTCAAAAAAATTTGTTCGTGTTTGATTCGTTTGCTTAGCGACCCTAAACACGAGTTTTCTGCAAACAACTAGTCATTTTGATAGCCCTAGTCACGCAGTCATATGATGTTAAGGGTAGGGACTAGAGTTAAATTATATTATTTATATTAAAATGTTCATTTAAATAGAATTTAATATATTTTTATCCTATCTTAATTAATTTTAAATCTTTATAGCCTTGTACTCAATTAAATTATTTAAAAATAATATTATACATATATATATATACATACATACATACACATGCATAGATGGAGCCAAAAAGAGTAGAACACGAACAAACTACAGTGAGAATAAAAAAATTATTTTTGTTCGACTCGTTTGTTTAGTGAACAAATCAAACACGAGCTACTTAACGAGCGAGCTGAATACAAGTTGTTTGTATACTACAAGCTATTTTGATAGCCCTAGTTTGAATTCATAACACTGAGAAATGAATCTCCTTTTTCAAAAATATATTTTCCTAAAATTAATCACTCAAATAACTATTATACGTAATGCAAACATAATAGATGCTGATTAAGTACAAATTTGTCGTATTAGAGTGGTATTGACATGTACCACCCCAATACCTCCGATCTCCACATCCAGATCCTGCACGTAATATTTGCTCATTATACGTGCAGCATTTCCACCTCGACCAAATTCTTTCCAATAAAATAAAAATATATTAAAAAAAAATATATATTTTTGAAAAGATGTACTCACACTAGGGCAAGAGTTAGAGGAAGCTTGAGCGAGGGATCTACGAGTAGAAACAGATTCTTTTATTGAGCTCCACAGAAGCCGCCTCTTATTTCCCTTGTTATTGGCTTCATCTGCAGCAGCAAGCGGGCATGGCAGCATTGTATCTGCCACACTTTCGGGTATGCATATTTTGCCTATGTAGTTTTGCCCAAATGTCAACAGTAGTGAAATAAATCCAAGAACCATCAACTCTGTCAACAAATTGTCCCAAAAATTAAATTATCTTTAATTGCAAATCCAATTGCAAGAAAAAAACAAATAAATTAAATTAATATTTGCTTATATATATATATATATATACCATGCTCTTATTGGCCTCATAATG